GCAACAGTGCTACCAACTGCGCCACCCTGCAGCCCAAAATTGAATATCAACATCGGTAATATCGGTTATCGGCGATATTAGAAGTCTTAATATCGGTAATATTGGTTAGAAATGTTAATACCGTGCATCACTATTTCTTTTCTTCTTTAAAAAAAAAAAAAATAATAATATATATAAACGGCGTTGGAAATCACTTTCCTGACAGCAAAAAAAGAGAAGGCTTCTCAGGAAGAACAGAAGGCTGACCAGCCCAACGATGGAGATGAAGATTTTCAAAATAAATGAGTACACCGCAAAATAAAATGATAAAATCCCACATCTCACTAAGGGAAGGAACAAGTGAAACAATAAAAAATAAATAAATAAATAAAAATAGAGAGTAAAGCCATAAACACAAGGGTCAAAAATAAATAAAAGGTTAAAGAATACTATGAGCAATGAAATTTAAAAAAAAAAAATAAATAAAAATGGAGGCATGAAGTGGAGCAACTTTAAAGTGGCATTGTTGCTCTTTGTCAGATTTCATGTCAGTTCATTAAAATTCTAGATGTTACAGGGTTGTGAGACATTTTCATGAAGGAGGATGCCAAGTCATGAGAGCGTGTGTTGGAGCTTATGGTAGCCATTGTAATAAATAAATAATAAAAAAAAGAATGAGGCGTGGAAGTGTTTGTGTGTGGCGACAGAGAGAGAGAGAGAGAGAGAGAGAGAGATGGAGAGAGAGGGAGAGGGGGGAGCATCATCCAGCCTGTATCCAGTAACAGCTGGTGTCGGGGCGTAATGACCTTTTGTCTCCCGGCGGTCAGGTACGGAGAGAGGAGGAGGAGGAGAGAGGGGGGCGGAGATACAGGAGGAGCAGCTTCATATCGGACTGGTCCCGGCGTCCCGGACAACAAATGGCCGTGAACCGACAGGGAGGGAGAGTGTGATCTTGCTTTCTTTTCTACTACTCTCCTTTTTTTTTTTTTTTTTTTCTTTTTTCCAAATTTCTTCCTCCCAGTGCGACCACATCCAGAGCTTTCTCCACATAGCAGAGAAAGAAAGAAGCGCGCTTCATCCTCTACTCTCAGCAGCAGCAGCAGCAGCAGCGCTACGTTTCATCCGTCTGCCACAAGGATGGGAGAGTCCTGTTGACACCACGGAGAGATACACGCTGAGACCGAGCATGGCTGTGGACGGTAAGGAGTGCTCACTATTTCTAAGCATCCAAATCAGCCCCCTATAGTGTGCAAACAGGAGCTCAGTGTGGCATCCAGTGATGAGCTCATGGTGATGATTTGTACTTTTTGTGTGCTTTAAAAAAAAAATCTTAGTTTATCCACACAATCATGTGCTTATTGAAAGGTGCATTTTGTTTCAAAAGATACTCAAGTTGCAAGAAATGTGGCTGTAATCCACTATTTTTTTTAATGTCTTTCTTATCCTCCTCAAAATAAATCACCAAACTTGTACCTGACAGCAGGAGAACCTGTGAATGTTTGCTCTTCAGTCAATTTAACCTGGATTTGCCCAAAAGAAAAAAGAAAAATCTGCTCTCAAACTTGTGAGTGACCCACAAACGTGGAGCTTTAAAAAAAGAAAGCAGCTTGTTTCACTGATTCGCTGTTTGATATTCAGTGCAGCGAAGTAGCCAAAGTCTTTGTTATACTGGGGAAGAGGATTATGTTGGAAGTTCAGTGTTTTCTGTGGTCTGTTTGAAATTGATAGCCTGTATTTGTCAAACAGCGCCCGGCTCACCTGGATAGATTCAGCCAGCTCAGGAGTGTAAGAGCAATGCAGCCTTCTTTGTCCTTCACTCTTTTGTTTTGCTTTAGTACAAAGATGTGACTTGCTCCATTCATAAAACAAAAGTACAACACACCCATCACAACCCATTATCACAAAACTGAATTCATTCTTTATGATTTAGATTTTTCTTTTTGAAGAGCCTTTCACTAGGAAAATAGGGCTGCAAGTGTCATTTTTGTTACAGGTTTGTGTGATGATTATTTTCTTGATTAACAGCACACTGGTTTGTCTGGATAAGGTTTGAAAAAATGATAGAAAAAGCTTTTGAGAAGGTGAAAAGATGAGACCTGAAACAGTTACAGATTGTTCTTTTGTCCACTGACCTACTAAATTTCACAGATTTCTTTGAAAACCCCAAATTTCTTTGAAATTAGTCAAGCATTTTTGTTAATGAGGTCACATTTAATGCAGCCTCAGCCAAAAAAAAAAAAAAAAAAGGCTCTTTATAGGCTTCTGAATAGGCTTCCCCACATCCCCTACCTTCAGGGGACAAACCCATTTAGAAATTAATACACTATGCGTGAAACTCTCTTCTGTGTTTTTTTTTGTTTTTGGTTGTTGTTCGTACAGCTGTTGTTGTCTTGTCCCTTTCTGTCTCTCCTGTGCTTGGCTGGTTGGTGTTTGCTCGAGGCTAACTAACTTAAGTGAAGCCTAATCAGAGCCTCTCTCCGCTCAAGGGCAATAATATGTGTGAGAGCATCGGTGTAGTGCCAAGTGTGTTTTCCATCTGTCCTCTGTCTACCGAAGCAGGTTAGCTCTTCATTTGCATGGCTGCAGGTAGGAGACTCAGTCAGATATGCATATATGCCTAGTGACACATTGGACTATCTATAATTAATCCATAGTTTACTTAAGCATCATTAATTTACTCGGAGCCCTGGGCGTTGATGCCACCCTGACAGCGTGCTGTGCCACTTAAACTTTAATGAGTGCTGGTCCAAAAAAGACTGTGGCACTGTTTAAAGACACACAGAGGGCATGATTAGCACGTCGTTATGACCAACACAGAGGACCCCGGTGCTCTTCGTACAAATACGACCTTACGTAAGAAGATTTAGTTTGTGATTTCAAACTTTTGTCAAAGTTTTACGCTGTTTGAGAAATTTGTATGCAGAATTGGTGTTAACTATTTACTGTAAGACACCCGGTTTGCGAACCGTGACGGCTTCAGGTGTGGTATTTGCAGTGTAATAGCCGTGTTGATTCATAATGCTCGGAATTGATTTCCATTTGTCAGGAGGTAGCGGTGTTATTGTTAGGTGGGCTGTCAGCTACAGGCCTGTGACACGATCAATTACAAGGGGTGCTGTGCATTTTAAATGGCATAATAGACATTTTTGCCTCATCTTCATGTAAATTGCCAAGAGAATTACATTTTCCTCCTTGCTGCCTGCTGCACAGCGAGTCACGCTATGTAATTATGTTCTCCTCCTTGTTTGGCAATTCTGAGTGGATGAAATTCATCAGATGTTTGCGTGAATTGCCCAGGACATCTGGCTGCATTGTCACATCTGAGATAAGCAGCCACACAAATGATGCTACTAGGCCACTGTGCTGTCCAGTACACATTGTTCAGGAGCAGGTTTTTTTTGTTTTGGGTTGTTTTTTTTTTACAGACGAGAGAGCAGCATGGTTCATCCCGTGCTCACATTAGGAATAGACACGGGGGGAACCCAGAGAGTGTACACTAAGAGGTAGGCTTGACTGAGCTCAGCAGCAGAATATCCAAAGATTTGGGCCAGTGCAGCCAATGCCAGGGTGGCTTCCATCCATCCGTATACTGCGAGGCATATGTACACAAACGCATGCACAGAAATCAAAAAAGCAACAAGCCGTGCTCGCCGCCACCCTGACAGGCCCTCATGGAGACAAGCTCACAGCTAGATCTGAATCTAAAAACAACCCATTTATTTATCTCAGCCCCCGTGTCTGTCTTCGGGCATGTCAGAAGACGGTCCGCTGTAGGAGGGTCGACGGTTTCTATTTGCTGCCTCTGTGATGGACACATAAGTGGGAAGGGGGCTAACAGATGAGAGATGCATACAGTAGCGCTCTCCTAATAAATGGAGATGGTAAAGGACACTGAAGTGAAAAAATGCCTCTTCTCAGTAAAGTATTCAGAGAATTTTGAGGCATTTCTTGCTTCTTTTAGAAACCATCATTTTATCACAAAATAGTTCACAAAACATGCAACTATAGTCTGTATCTATGTCTTCTTGAAGTATCTATTCCCTCCAGACCACGGTTAACCCTTTCCTCGAAACCACCACAGCACATAAACACACCCTTTCCTCTGATGGGGGTCATGTGTTCATTCGACTGTAAAATAATTGCCCCTTTCCACTGGGATGCTCCCGCCTATACTCCGGTCCGTGTCGTGTAAATCTGTGCATGTCTCGGTCCATGCGTCTGTTTATGTTTGTGTGTGTGAACATGCAGATGAAGCAGGAGGGGGAGCCAGGACCCCAGTGGGTGGGACGTTTGGGGGGGTGGAAGAGGAGGAGGAGTGTTAGCTTTAAACAGACAAACACACCCTTTGTTGTTTTTCTGGCGTGCGTTACTTCGCCTGCTGGAGACGGCGTCCATTTGGTGCATTTGGTGTTGGGGCCAAATGTGTTCTGGAGCCTCAGTTGTAAAGTAATAGTGTGTTAACCCTCTCGGTTACAGTGGCATGGTTAGGGTTATGTCTCAACTGTATGTGTGTGCACACTATAGGGGCATGCAAGCTGTTAACCTCTTTCCTTTGTCCATTATCATCTCCTGCTTCCTCGCAGCAGGGAGGGTGTCACTCAATATAATGCATGGAGAATCCTCTTGAACACACACACACACACACACACACACACACGCAAACACACTCCCATCATCCATCATCTACTCTCTGATCCAACGCTGCTCTCCAGCTGCACCTGGCCTGTGGATTTTAGATGCAGACAGAGTGGGATAAAGACAAAGTGGACAGTGGGAGCGAGGAGACGAAGAGAGATGCGTTACGGTAACTGGAATCCTCCAGATGCATTAACAACAGTCCGGAAAAGTGTTCATAAACTGTTCTGTCAGCTGAAAGAGATATTAGTCTTGGGGTTTTTGTTTGTTTGAATTTTGGCCGTGATTTCTTACAGTTATTATAATGTTGTGCTCAGAGAGGGCTGCTGAAATCTTACAGTGACATTGCTGTTAGAAACACAAGGATTCTGATAATTGGACAAGTTGTAAACAAAAGAACTCATGCTACAAAAAATGTCTTTTATTGACTAACAACAAGATGCCAATCCCATTTGGATGTTCATCAGGTCGGAGTTTTTTTTTTTTTTTACTCTCAAAACATCAATCAAGTGTGCAGACAACCAGACTTTTTTTTTTCTTTTATGCTGTTTTTTTTTTTGAAAGCCTCCCACCTCAGTGATGTTCATGTAACTGCTTTCTCCCTCTAAAAGTTGTAAACAAGTTGTCACTTTAGCCAATTTAGATCTGAAACACTTTGGAGGTCAAGCTGAAAGTGAGCTCCCCTGAAATGTTAATGATGACCTCTAATTGGAGAGGAAACCTGTGTGATCACACATCTGTGTGTAGTACATTTTGTCAAAGCTGAACAAGGACAGAAGTCTTGTACGCTGTAGCTGTTTGGAGATGCTGGGTTGTGCTTTATCAGCTTGACTTTGTTTTCATTGTTGTGTGACAATCTAAAAGACTTGCCAACAAATTTAACACTGCACCCCTTTAACATTATTGTACAATGTGAAGCTAGAACCAAGAATCATCACAATTGACGCAGCAGAGTCCAAGACAGTTTGGTAGGAGGTGTTTTATACCAGCTAATGTAACCTCTTTAGCTTCATATGTAGATTTCTGTGCCAAAACCTCTAAATGGACATTAAGGCCTGAAATCATTGAGTTCCTCTTTAAGTTTCTTGCCCCTTTTCATGTGTTTACAGATCTCACCAGAAAAATTAATAAGAAAATGTGTATTATTATGTCCAAAAACTATGGAAATGAGGCCCCATTTTGCAGGAATCTTCTTAGAAAGCATGTACAACGCTGTATCTCGGGGCCAAAACACTTAGGCCGCTCTATATCATCGTAAAACAATAATCAATTTCATTCAAACTCAGATCCATTAGAGAGTTGTTGTTGATGGAGAACATTTTCAATGAGTTATTGATCTAATGGATTTTTCAAGCGGTCCTTTCAGGCCAACCGCCAGCTGCTTTGACCTCTGACCCAATGTATAGGACTCAGGATGGATGCTGAATGATTCAGTAGATAAACATGTCTGCACTAATCCTACAGGCCTTTCAAAGACTGATTGATGAGGTGGTTAAAAGAGGAAGAATCAGTAAAGAGCAGCAGTGGTTTTCGGATTCTCTTCTGAAACGTATCACACTTCAGC